CGCTGTGTTCCGGCTTTAACATGTGAGTTTCATCTGATCGTTTGCTTATATGCGTCGCGCTTCAGTGATGAAAGTTCAAGCAATTATGCAAACAAGGTGTGGGCGTAGCGGATCGTCACACATATTTATGTGGTCTATCCAGTTAAATCTTTTTGCGTGGGACAGTCCTTCAAAATATCACCATAACAACTGTGTGTCCGGATAAGTACGAGCACATTCCGACCTTTGATAATGCGATGTTCTTTTCTTAAGTTCTGTCAATCAAATTCGTCGTCTTCGCCTCGGAATGCTCGAGTGACGTCAGTAGATCATTTTCGGCGAGCCGATAGCAATTACGATTAAATACTTGGCATTCCGTTCGAACCCCGGGAACAGGGCTGTCAAATCTCTTAATCAGATTATGCTTGTGATACTAAGGTCACTGTTCACCCTCTAATGTATATTATTGTCTTTGATCTATCTAGTATGTCTGGTAAAAACTTCTTAGTTACTAACAAGCCGGTTCGTTGGAGATCGGATGTACTTTTTTGGATTCAAAATACTTAAATACGTGTGTACTTGTTAAAGTCATGTTACGCATTCATCAGCCAGCAACTAGTTTCTCTCCACAAAGTCACAAAAGGTGCAACAGTTTTAAACAAATTATTCTAATACTAATTACTAAATCCTTCTCTGTTCTTCATTCCAAACTTCAGTCATAGATTCATTACAAGCGCCAAGAATATTCTATTTGCACTTAAATTTCAAAAACGAAGTCTATTCTTTAAGAAACCTTACTGTCTTTTCTTATTTTTCGCCTTCTCCACATCCAACAATATATAGAATATAACAATAACTGTGTACTGAATATATCGAACGTGAAGCAAGTTACTACAGTTTTGTAATGAACAAATCGTATAAAGAGTTGTGTCAATTAAAGTATCTTTAGTTGCGCTGAAAGGTCAACCGTTTCCTTCCGATTATACCCTTTAAAGGTAGTAATCAGTTATCTGAACAGCTCGACAAGGTCAACATCATCGGAAGGGGTCGCACTGGAACACGCTACGGAACAGCTGAACGTTTCAATCGCGATCACGTTTATAAACCGCTCGAAAAATAGTGTTGAGAAACCAAGCTGAGAGAACTGTTACAAACGGCTTCCTTGGGAAATATTACTTTTAGCAGGACAAAAGGAAGACTGTTTTCATGTTAAGAATCCTGATAGAACTGCGTTGTGCAAGCTTTTAATTGATCTCCTCTTTTCCTGCCGAACAGTTTTACCCTCATTTTGAAAACTGAAGAAAAACGCTCACACAACTCAGTTTTTATGGTGCTTGACGCTGTTAGGAATAGCTATGTTTTCGTTAGTACAGTTCGTATTCTGTTTATGCAGTTTTGCTACGTTCTTATATTTTGCGCACAACAGTCAACTCACCAGCTGAAGTGGTCTTCACGGCAGTCGCCGGGAAAAAAGCCCGTATTACAAAGTATTACAAGCAGGTTTTATGGGACTGCTCTTTTTATGGCTGCAACTGGACTTGCCTTTTCGGCAACACAGGACATGAATAGTTGAATGAATAAAAGGTCTTAAAATTTTATTTTATACACACATTAAAATTATAAATAGCTTTATCCCACAGGGCCAACAGGTTATGAAGGTCGAAGCCGAAAATAAATCAGTTCAGTCTTTTTTTATATTTCTTGTCTTGTTATCTAAAATATTAATACTCCTTCTACACGATGCTTTGTGATGGTAATCACACTTAAAGGTAAATGAACAATAACTGATTCACTTAAAAGCACTCTGGTATGATACCATCAAGTATACATCACCCACGGGCAGATCCTAAATACGATAAAAGTGTTGCACATCCGCAAGTTGAGCGGAGTCCCAGATATTTATATCAGTATTACAATGAAATGATATACATCAAATGGTCTTTCCAGGACAGTCATTATCTATAATTACGCCGCTAAGTAAGTTATATATATACCGTAGTTTTGTAGTTATATTCAAAAAGAGTCGATTGACTTTTTTATGCTTACTGAGCATAATATAGTTTTGACCTAGTTTTTCGCTTCTGAAAGAATATACTTAGTAACGATTGATATGAAGCATTCATAAAAAAGTAACTTGATTTGAATTCAACATGAATTAGCCAAACAGCTATGGTTTTCTAACTGAATTTCGGCAATTTTACTGGAGTTGCTTTCTGGGTCCAACCGGTGGGAGAACGACGTGAGCGCAAATTGCTGTGTTGTTTTTTGTTTTTGTTGTTTTGTTGTGTTTTTTTCTTCAGTATTTCTCGTTAAAAATAGCTACATACAATTCCTTTCAAAAGAGTATTCTTTGTTAGCCAGTTGGGGATTTTCGTCTTCTTGGTCGGGACTCAAACATCTCAATTGCGGAAGCCGGAATAAATATTGTTCTAGATTGTTCTCGTCCAGTGGAAAAGGAGACAAAATATAGCATGCTATCTAAATATATGGCTATTTTTATAGAATGTCGTGCAACCAATTCACGTTATATCAAGGACTGCTATTAGCACTAATTGTAAGATCTCCAAAAAAAAAACATCACTTCTTAGTTTATACTGCAGCTGCTTGGTGATTAGAGGAAGTTCCAGAACCTTGTGCTCTCAGTCCTCAACCGACTAAAGGCGGAAATATCGAAAACGTTGAAAACAGTATCAATAATTAAACCGATTATAGAAAAAAACAAACGAGTCTGGGCCATTTTACGACAATTGAACAGATGTTCGTCTTGCCGAGACGTGACTTCGAGGTGACAGCGAAAAAAGGCGAAGCATTATCGAGTTTTCCGAAAAACGTAAAGCGAAACGCTATCGATTTGCGAGACATTTCCTTTTATGGTATCCACATTTAGGATTGGCTGGTTGTTCGCCCGTTTGCGTTAGCGGTGGCCTCGTTCGACGGGCAATCCCCGTCTCGGTTGTATCGCTTCTACACGTGCCGATTTCCTGATAACCTTACATTCCTGGAGTTTTCGTCATTCCTGACGAAATCTTTCTGTAACCAAATACAGTATAAACAATGACTTGGTTTCGAGAAGTTGTGACTTTATTATTTCACGATCATATTCTGCTACGATTCTAGAAGGTGAAAAAGGTTGACAGCTATTGCTGAAGTGAAATATCGTCACACTCATGACGCATTTTCAGCGCGAGCACAAACACGTTTATCCTGTGCGTTATTGTCCGTTCAGAGCTGCAACAAAAATACTGAAAAAAAGGTTTCGATTTACTGCCGCACTGCGTCACTAGAATTGTTTATTTCCGGGTTCGAAACCAGTGGATAGATTCCCGAAGAACTCGACAAGAAGTAGAAGATTAAGAACATGCAGGTGCGGCATGGGATGTTATGCAGACTCAGGTACGGGATGCTCCGCTCGAATGGAGTACTTTTTTCAGGGTGTAAAAAAGGATCCAGAATTAGTGACTTTTGGTATAGAAAAGAGGGTTTCACAATGCAAGCATAAAAAAGGAGCTAACTATTCGAGAAAATCAAACCGAATTGCACGCATGTATGACGGTCGATATCTATACTGGTCGGATAAAACCTGCCCTTGTTTGTTTTATGTGTGTATGTTATTATTTTTTTATAGTAAGTTGTTTTCTTTAGGTATAAATCCCTAACTTGTAATCTTTTATACATACGCCAAAACGACAAATAGATATTCATCGGAAACTAGTTTCGTTTAATTCAACCTCTTCAGTCCACGTGAAAACAATTTACTATGATTACGAAATATTTTGAAGTCTCGACTAAAACAATTTCAGAAAGTTTTATTTTTTTGTTTTGAGTTTTGAGTTTTTTACAAATGTATTTTCAAAATATGGTTTGAATGGTTCGTTGAGGTCTCTCCTAGATCTTTCCTGAGATACCTCCTGGGTATAAATTATTCGGAAAACATTCCTTGGGTAGTAAAAATTGAGGTTTGGGAAACTAAACGCATGTCACGTTCAAATTTTTCATTTCTAACCCTTCCCTCATGTGTAAGGTGCGCTTGCTACCAAAGCCTTTCCGTAGCCGGTTGCTTTCACAGGTTCTTATTACAGGGCCAAACAAAAAACTGTGGGAACCTAGAAATATTCTAGGAATGTTCTATTCTTTCTAAAAACAAGATATACGGAAAGATAACAGTAACCGCTTCTGATTGGCTATTAAACATTCTTAAAATATTTCAAGGTGCCCACGGTTTTTCGATTCGCACTGTAATGCCCTTTCCTTTTCCTTGCCTTGCTGTTCTCACTCACTCGGAAACTGTACAAGCAGTGCACCATGCAACCATGCATATACATGTCAATGAATTGACAAGGATGACCTATAGAGGCCTTTCACCCCTATGGCTCATAAGGATGGGCTAGCTCGTTTGAACCATGTGAATTGGGTTTGTTTGAAAGTGCTTAAATCTTTTAATGCCACGTGAGTTTTTCCCAAGTCCTTTCCTCCGCAAAATGACCATCCGACAATGAAAAATACAGACCTAGACCGTATTTGTTGTAATATAATAATAATAATTCATTTACTTACATAGCGCTTTTTCCTTTAGATCAAAAGCGCTTTACAACATACTTCAAATTTAATAAGACCAATATTATAACTAATGAAATCTAAGTAATACATAAACAAATAATTATAAAAACTTGGAATAGCAAAAGATATATAAAAACTAACTTTACGCTTTCCTAAATAAAAAGATAAAAAATATTCATTGTAGTGTGGACTGAGTGCGTATGGTGTAAAACCCACAAGCTTTCAGCATAGTTTACCGTACATGAAGGCGGGAAATATTTTTTTCTATGGCAAGTTCCTTGGGAACTGAGACAAGCGAGCGTGGGAACTACACTACAAAACAACCACGCAGAAACAGTGACAGCAACTGACTTACACCCAAAAATAGAATTAATCGATGAAGGGAGGCTATTGAGAAAAAATTTAATGTAATTGGCGTGTTTTTCTCGTTCCAAGAACTTTATAAATACACTTCTAAAATGCGCCAATATGTTGTCCAGCGGAGTGAGCTTAGAGCATGCGTAGTGTCTGTAGAAGAAGGGTTGTGGCAAATGGAGGCTGTTGTTGTGTAGTGTTGAATAGAGGTGTGGTTGAAAAAAAGCTTATTTTACCTACAAAACGAGTCCAAGGTAAGTCAAATATGATTGCTATCCCTTCTTCATTAATCTATCTACGAATCAATCGAAAAGAAACCCTTAGAAATCTCCGATCAAAGGGTTTATAATTCGAAGGTTTGCGAAGGGCTTTTGTTGCTCGCACACGCTTTTGCTGGCGTCTCGCTCTATTGAATCAAATACACTTCGGACTTCTGATCGAGTCCTTACCACGAATACGTTCGCATCGCTAAACTTTACAATGAATTTCCATCTATTCTATCATATAACTTGAGTATGGCTTCGTTAGAGGAATCGTATCATTCAAGTATTGCATTTTCCCCTCGATGGATTAGAATAACAACTGGAAAGCCCCCGAGAGCATGGCGTGACGAGTGTTCCAGACGATGGCGTCTACAAAATTACATTCTTCGATATTTTCTAGGTTTCTTTGGGAAACCAACTCGAGGTCAAAAGCTCCAATAGAATTTCCTTAATGCATCAACACTCGAGATTTATCTATAATATATCGACAACATTACTGATTCTGAAGGTTTATAATACGTGTTGCTGTGACTGGCTTTTTGCCATGCAGCACAGTGCCTTGCCATCATAATCTTCATACTTCTCGTACCAAGAAATAAAAGAGTAGCTACTTCATATTGTGATATTATAAAAAATAATAGGTATCACATTATGACATAAGACTTTAAATACAAGCTATACAAGTACTATGACCTATATGCGTACAAACATTATTTCATTTATAGTTCAAGAGTTACATTAAAAATAATCATAATCATTTAGTAAATTTGGCGGTTTCATACTGTTGGCTCGGATTTAGTTTTTATTGTCACAAATTTGAAGGGTTGGGTTGGTCTACACAAGAAATGCATTTTTATTGCAAGCTCAAGCTGTTTATTTTAGGAGATAATCATATAAATATACTGTAGACAAAATTGAAACCCAGAATAGAAAATAGTAGAATAAATTGAAATGTAAAAATTGTTTAAATTCAAGGAGTTAGGAATGACCATTGATCACCCTGATCAGAAGTGTAAGGGATGATGATTGATGACACATTTTAATCTAGTGAAAAACAAATTGGAGTAGATAGATATATTTTACAAGGTAGTTTTAAAAAATAAAACAGAGTTCTGTTTAAGTTACTCTGATCCAACATGTGGGATACTGAGAATATGAGAGATGTATAGATAATTCACTTGAAATTGGCTTCCACGAGGAGGGGGACCCCGGGCAAATGTGGGGACTTAGCTTTGAGCCTATCTGTATTTCCCCAGATATGGGGCAAGGTTTCTTAGAAAATACCCCTATATTCCACCAGCCCCTGGGGCAAAATTGCCATTATGGAGTGGAAATAACAGATCACAAAAGTAACACAAAACAGTAGAGTGCACACGCTAAATCCATAAAACAAACTGAAAGACAAGATCTTAGTAACATGTATAGCAAATAGAGCATTTGATAATATCTTAAGTTTCTACAAACTCTTACTGAAATACTTAATCAGCATCTGTTTCAAGCTTGCACTTGCTGCTACAGTAACAGTAACTTGACCTTCAGTGTCTGCCATTTTGTGCATGACTAGTTGTCAGTTTACGATAAGCATAGGTAAACACAGCAACCCCAATCTCAGTAAATCAAAGTCAAAATAAAAATCAAGCAAAAAACAATGTTTAAACCTCCGTTTACTTTTTAAGACCTTTAGAGTCCAATACGTTATTGAAAACAGCTCTTTACAAAAAACTCTAATGCTTCCATGGGGTTTCAGAACATTTTATCTATCTACCACYTGGGGCAAGGATTTAAGGCTAAGTCCCCACTTTCCCCCACATTTCCCCAAGTCTAGCCCGGGGTCCCCCTCATGGAAGCTGATGACAAGTGCATAAGCCATGACTTGAAGTGGAAGCTTTTTTGTTTTTCTCATGAAAGTGCAAATTCAGAGCATGCAGAAAAAGAAATGACATTAATTTTTGAAACAGCATTTTGACCATTCAGGTAGCACATTAGAACTTGCTTATTTATAAATATAATTTTCAAACAGGGCATTAACCATTGTAGCTTAAATATTGTCGCAAACTAATAGTTTTGCATTTTCATTTCTTAGGTGACAATATATCTATAAGTCTCTTATCCACAGACACCCCAGCCAATGAACCATGGAAGGCCTCAAGAGAAAAGTTGTGCAAACTAGACAAGAAATTGAAAAGGCTGAAATCAAGGAGAAGTATTTCCGAAAGCTACTGAGAAGACAAGGAGAACGAGCAATCATAGCTGAAATGGAAGCAGATGGACTCAGAAATAGAATTAAAGATATAGAGGCAAGGATTGAAAAATTAAATGACAAAACCTATCAAGTTTCTCTAGGAGTTCAGGCTAAATCACTTGAAAATGATGACAGTGAAAAGGATAGAAAAACCATGGAAGGAAAAGAATATGATCATAGTGATCAGATTGCTCTTCTCGAAGACAGAGTAGCTGATGTTGTCCGAGATGTTGATGAGAAGGAAATCCGCCTAGAGGAAGCTAAGAGACGTCTTACAGAAACAAAGGCCAACCTAGCTTCTGCGAACGATAGAGCTGAAGAAGCAGATAAAAAGATYAGTATCCTTGAGAATGAAATACATTCTATGTGTAAAGATCTCTACACATTGGAGAGGAAAGCAGAACGCCGTTTCAAGAGGAATGATTATTTTGCAGATAAGGTTGAAGAACTGGATTTGAGACGTAGAAATGCAATCCTGCGAGCAGATGACTCTCAGATTGAGGGAAAACAGCTGCAGAACCAGTGCGACAAAGTATCTAGTAAGTACTTCTTGTATTACCCATTCTTTTTGTCATTGTTTTTTGGGTTAAAAATCTTTCTTTGCATGATATTAAACAAGCATTTGCTTAAAACAGCATTTTTGGGGGATCCAGAAACATGGTTAATTGTGGTCTAGCTTGGGAACAAGTAACACTAGGCTGACAAACAAATGTGTTTGTATCCAAGCTATACCACAATAAGGGTCTATGGACTCACTGATGGTCCCAAGCGGTATTCTCCCAAGCATACTTTGTAAGCTAGAGTCTAACTATAGTCTATTTTTTTTTTACATTTCACCTTTTTATTTTTATTTTATTCTATTTATTAATTTCTCCCAAGCATTAACCAGAGTCTAACTATAGTCGTTCATTTTTTTTACATTTCTGCTTTTTATTCTTTTTATTTTATTTATTTATTTAAAATGAAATATGAAATTATATTTTTGTTTTACACCCTGGCAATATGGTCGCCTTATTGTCAAAGTAGTCCATTGAGCCAACCAGAAGGTGGCCCTGATAGGGTTTATATTAAGTTTCAAAATAATAGGATCTTGAAGATCATGGTAGTTTTTTGCCAGAGAAAGTTGCTCGGTCATTGACCAATAAAAACCCTGTCATACTTCTTTTTTCTCTTGTACAGATTCTTTATCCCGTGAAAAGAAGAGAGTAGCATTCATGAAAAGAGAGCTGGAAGATGCTTTAGCAGATTTGAATATTGCCAGGAACTAAAAACATTATGAACTACATGATGAGGAATACAATTGAAAGATGAACATTGTATCAACAAAATAATCATGTCCAAGTACGTTAAAGACATTAAATGGGATCCAGTAAAAAGAATCATTCATTTAAAAGACCAACAAGCTTAAATTAAAGGTCCCATTGATCAGATCTTTTTATTCTGGAATGRATTCATTTGTTTTCTAGGTAATGACCATTTTCTTGAGGAAAATTAATGTAAATGTAAGATTTTGTTAGCCCTGATAAACTCATGTCAAAGGGAACAAGTCTATCAGGGCCAAGAAGGGTTTGTTGTATAGTGAAATTGGTCTACCTACAACATAAGGCCCTTACAATTAATGAACGTAAAATAAGGTTATGCATGTAAGACACTGATTTTAGTTTGTCAATATTTAAATATTGTTTTGATATTGCATAACAATTATTATCTGGCAGACTTTTTAACAACATGTTGACCATGATTAGCAAGCATAAAAAACAACTTGTAAAATAGAAATTGCACAATAGACCCTTTGCAGTAAACAGTCACGTGTTCATACTGGACTGCAAAATTTTTGTTTTTATATTAAATTGGTGATTCTTTTTAGCTGCTCGTAAAGAACTGAATGAAAACATGCGTATCCAGTGTGTTACGAAATGCCGTTTTATTACAATCTCTCGAAACAGGTAGTAGAAAGTTTGTTTGCAGTCCAGTAAATTTCACCCATGGGAATCAAGATGTTCATTCATTTGCTCTCAGTGAATTAATCAGCACGTGATTGGTTAGCTGCAAAGGGCCTATTGAATATCAAAGTGCAAACGGTTGTGCCTCTCTGAGGAGGATTTAATGCATTTTGATTCATCTATAATACATGTGTCAGAAATTCTACATTCTGATTAGCCCCTATATACCTAATTATTGAGGCCCTTTTGCAGGGGGCTTATCAAAGCAATGTCTTTTGCCTTAGTATTTTGTGAATTTTTTCAGTACTTTTTTTGTGAATTTTTTCAGTACTTTTTCAGTACTATTAGATATTTTCCATCACAGTCCACAAGACATTTGTCCAAATCTTAAACCTTTACAGATTAGTTCGTAGCTAATACCAAATGAGAAAATTATTTTACCCTTGAGTGTATTAAAGTTACACCAGAATGTATTGTGTTTGTTAAACTTAGAATAATGCAAAGGTTGCTGTGCATCAGATGCACCGTAGTGCTTTGGGGCATTTGCGGTCAAACAGATAACTTGAAAGAAATGGCCATCATGTTGCTAAAAAGATTTTTTTAAATTACATTTTACATCTGTAATGCACTGATGAAGAACCAGGTTTAAAATCAAACCTATAATAGTCTCCTTCACAGTTCCCTGCGCCATCTTAAAAGGTAGCCGTGCCTTTGCATTGAAGCGAGACGAACGGTGAGCTTGCAATGATAGAAACCTTTTTTTAACACCTTAGACAATTATTTGCATGCCTCTATCATTGCAAGCTCACCGTTCATCTCGCTTCGATTCAAAGGCACGGCTACCTTTCAAGATGGTGCAGGGAACTGTGAAGGGGACTATTGATAACACTCAAATAATCTCCGTTTATGACTTTCACAGCTCTTTCTTTTCTTTTATTTTCTTCTCTTCCTGTTCCCATTTGAATATCTAGTGTGAATAGTACTGCACTGTAGAAAATAATTAAACTATAAAATATCCACAGACAATACTGATTTGAGAAGAAAGAAATAATAGGACAAGGTTTTCGAATTAGAATTTTTTTAAATTATTAATCTAGTTCGTGATAAACTAGTTACAATATACTAATTTTTTAAAGAAATTGAACTTGTGTAATTTATGCTTTTAAAATTATGATTTGTTAAAATATTTGTTCGTTTGTTTTAGATTTAAAACGAAATAGATATATATCTCGCATGTAAATGTCTTATGTATGCATATAAAAACTCCCTTTCAAAAAGTGCTCCAAATATGTAGCTTTATTTTCTTAAAAAGCAAAAGTATGATTTATGTACATGCATATTGTAAGCTTTTTTTCATAGAATTTATCTTCGTTGATTGTGAATCAAATCTCAATGTCAGAAATCCTCATCCTTAATCTAGAAAAATTGTTTATTAAGTAGAATTCATTCACGCATTATTTTTAACAGCTGGGAATGACAAGCAGATAATCAGATACGAGAAAAATAATTGGGAGTTGCTTGTACTTTTTAACAAGTCTCCGGTTCTCCCTTTTTGTTGTTGTTATTGTTGCTGTCATTGAAGAGACAGGTTATTCATAGCTCCGACTCCCCTTAGTTACCATTGCTATGTCCCAGAAGAAAACAAATTGCAGAAAATAATCATAAGTTGCTTAAATTGTTTCATGTTCTGAGAAAAGAAAAGAAAATTGCCTCGTAATCTTTGCTGTAATCTTTAAAACAAATATCGTGTAGTTGTTTGTGGGACAAGATTTTAATTCCACTGGGAAAACTACTGCAATTTTGATTGGTTCGCTATCATCTGAGTCGAAACTATGAATTTCTGCCAAGACTTCAACTACAACTATAAATGTAATAACTTGAACTGTAACTGACTTGGGATAATACAAGTCTAGTGAAAGTGTCCAACAATTCTATTACACAAATAGATAATGTCTCTAATGGCGAACGAAATTTCTCGTCATACTGAAGCGACCCCAGCAAAAGCCCTTGAAAAGATCAAAGGAGGGGCTGTTGCAGTCGAATAATCTGCAAATTTCAAGTTTAATTTTTTAACGGAGTTGATCGTTCTCTTATGGTAGTCTTGTCCACCAATAATGTATAGATCTTGTACTGCTTCGTCGCCACCATACACGGCAGCAACAGCCGCTCCACTACGCGGTTCCATTGTATTCCTGATGATCAACCATAGATTTAGATCTGGATTGTACTTCTCTATAGAGTCCAGCACCCCAACGCTATTAGATCCACCAATCACGTAAATCCTTTCTCCATACGTCACTACACTATGTGACATTCTAGCCTTGTTGAGTCCATTGACGTCTGCCCATTTGTTGGCCATAGGGTCGTAGCATTCCACGTGCTCGATCTCCGAGATCCCACAATAGCCGCCGACTGCGTACAGTCGTCCTTGAAGGGCTGTCAGGCCGAAGTGGCTTCTGGGTAGTCTCATTGAAGCTACTTGGGTCCATTCGTTTTGTATTGGGTCGTAACGTTCAACGGTTTTGAGAGCGGAGCCGTTGTGTGATCCACCAGCTGCATACAGCCAACCCTCCAGGATAACCACTGCTAGAGAACCTATATGTAATAGATCAAACAAACTGTCAGTACTGCATGGGCGTATCCAGGGGGTCATTGGGTGCCTGTGACCATCCTGGCAGTTTATCCCTATGGGTGTTGTAAAGGAGCGAGGCTATTGAGGTTGTGAGGTTCCCCCCCCCCCCCCCCCCCCCCCCCCCCGATAGTGCATGCAAAATCATGTCTGGAGGAGTTAGCCTTCAGGCTATCGCCGATAGACACTTTCTACTTACACACACTACCACTGCAATATTCTATGCACACAACGTTTAAGTCACATGTTGATTTTTACGAACCACTAAGTATTTGCTATATATAGGCCTTTTAACATGCTTGACATAATGACGAAATCTTTACTAAGTACTGCTAGTACTGACCTTTACATTTGTTAAGTGAAGCAACCGAAGTCCACTGACCAGTACAAGGGCTGTAACACTCAACAGTCACAAGATCCGCATAGTCATTATTCACTCCTCCGACAGCATACAGCTGACCATCAAGTACGGCTGACCCCACTTGCTTTCGCGCGATTATCATTGGCGCAACGAAAGACCATCTCTTGTCATTGAAGTCGAAGCACTCGACGGTGTTCAGGACTGTTCCTTGTTCTATTTGAATATAAAGAATAGTAGTTAAGATGAATGTTATATAAAATCTTAGTGATTGAGGCTAGTGGACAGACAACCTTTTGCGCGATCGAAATAGATGCTAGGTGCAACTTTTTGCCCGCAAAGCTGCTAAGCATTAGTAATAGGGAGCAGAGCCATGGTAACTGACCAGCCCGTTAAACAATGTGTCAGATTTTTTTTCAGTTTACGTCTAATAAAATGAATAAGCGGTTATCTAGGTTTAGCTCTAATTTTTTTACGTTGAAAACACGACTAATCACTCGTTTAAAATCACGTAGGAGGGTGTATACTATCTTGAGATGCAGAGGTCATATTTGCCGTAATATTTCTCCTTGTCTTTCAAAAACCGAATGTCATATATGCAGAGGTCCTTCAAAACACAAGAATCTCAGCATACACTGTTTTTGGAATAACATCGAATGCGAGACTACTATACTGACGATATTGTTGACAATAACGCACCCGGTCTTAATTGGGGCATGCGTAGCTGGGCACTAAATAGAGGTTGCCCGGTTAACAAAGGTTATACGTATGAGCGCGCTTTTTTGAGTAAGTGGTGGCATTTTAAGGAAAATTAATTAAAAACTCCTTAATTCAGATCATAGTATACTAGCTATGACTATACCAAAAATTCAGTTGTTTTTCATCAAGCAATGAATGCTTTCTTATCGTCAACCAAGATGGCGGATATGACATAACATGCACCCCAGAAACCAATGAGATAGGAAAATTAGTGTCTTTATTTTTTATTGCGAGAAAAAAAGTTCGGAACTAAGACGGTAAGCTTGAATGAAAAATAATATCAAAAACTATTCATCATTCCAATGGTCATTGCAATTAATGCACGTAGAAGGTTGTTAGGGACAACGGTGTTGCATTCTGATAGGCGATGTTAATGTACATCCGTTTTACTCGAAGCATCATGAAACAAACATTAGGTGCTGTTCATTATATTTATTTTTCTCTCGAGAAATACATGTATTTTCCAACTTTTTCAAGTATCTCAATAGTAATGAAAATGTCGGAACCCCGGCTTTATATTAGTCGATATATATCAGTGGAATTCTCGCCCCTTAAAAACATACTTCTATAATTTTTTTAACCTTCTGCCTAATGACATTGGTAATTGGTAAGTATTTTAGATTCCATCAGTTTCCCACCACCCATGGCCCTCCTATATAGATATTGATTGCATCATATTTAATTACTATGATTGCATGGCCCAACAATCGTTCATTAGTACTGTCAGTGGCATCCGGCTTCCAAGGCACATGGAGCGCGATTGAGTTCGAAAATGCAGTAGCGTCGGAATCCAAATCGGAAGCAGCATACACAGGTACAATATATTATGAATCAATAACGTGTGAAGCAAGGCAAGCACTTTTAATGGGCAGCACGCTACTGGATCTGCGTATATGTTGCTTCTGATGAGCCGACTCCGACGCCGCTAATTGAACCAGGCTTTGTAAGTCGGGACAAAAGCATCAAACGTGTGAAAAAATAAGACAAGTACTGTTAATGAGCAGTACACTACTGGGTCTGCGTATGATGTTGCCTCTGATTAACCGACTCCGACACTAATTGAACCATGCTTTGTAAGTCGGGACAAAAACATCAAACGTGTGAAAAAAGACAAGTACTGTTAATGAGCATGCGTAGGTTGCCTCTGATCAAACTAAATACTAACTAATAGTATCTATTTAGTGACTAATAGCTGCTATCACTCAACCAGAACATTCATCGTACAAAGACAAACACACGGCAAGAGACCATTTGTGTCTTTTGTTTAATAAATGTTCTGGTTGAGTAATATAGTGACTATTAGTCACTAAATAGATACTATTCAGAGTTAGTATTTAGTTTGATTTTATTTCACGGTTTAGTTGCATCCGCTCTAATTGAACCAGGCTTTGCAAGTCGGGACAAAAGCATAAAAAATCTAAAGCTCTCTATGCATGCGCACCTCCCAAACTATTCATTTGCACCGAGGGAAGAATTAAAATATTGATTATACGAAGGACTGAAGAAACCCTACAATTATTATTTCCGGGTTTCATAGTTTGCATTTCCTATCGGCACGACACCCTTTGTCTAAAAACGTTCTCATAACAGATAACATGCAGTTGGTCTATCCTATCAAAACTTTTTTTCCCCTAGTGCACCCTTTTATTAGCTTGGGCGTAATGTTTAACACCTTCAGAGCACGTGTCATTTCCTAGAGAGTAAGATTTTTTGTTTGAGTTCTATCCATATCGGCCTTCTCATGCGCAACATTTAACAAAGAATAGGACATTTGCATTATGCTCGCTAACTACAACTTTACCAATATCCTTGTCGCTTTTTTGTTCAGTTCATTAGCAGTTCTTATTTTTTCTCGAGGAAAATATTTTTATATAAGAAACAAAAGTGTAAATTAAAGGACGAATCCATCATGCAAAAGACCTATGACATTAGGCCTAATCGTAAAAGGGCGAATTATGGTGTGACCCGCAAATTCGCTCCCCCAGGTCAATTGCTCTCAACGCTACAAGATTATCACTATTCTTAGTAGGGATCTTATCAACACAATCACTAAACGGTTGATATGATATCCTCATGGCACACAGACGTGTTCCTACTTGTAATACTTCATTCAAAAATTAAAAATTTAATGAAATTTTAAATTGATTTAATTTTTAGCACATTACCTTCGCCACCAACGACATAAACAGCACGGCTCGATTTCTCTCTAGGAATAGTACGGGGCGTCTTGTTCTTGTCTCGCCTCTCTGGGATTAGATGATAGTCGATGGCTTCAAGGACATAATTACGACACAGCGGATCATTCATGATGAGATTTTCTTTAGCGGCAGTGTCGATTAGAAATTTCCGTGTCAGCAAAGGAAATCGAACTTGCTCCAGTAACTCTGCGAGGTACGTTTCTCGAGTTTCCAAGTCATGACGTACCCAAGTCATAACTGCTTCAAAAACTGCGCTTTCTGATGTTATATTCAATTTATCATGTCCCAAAAGACGAATTAACTGTTTATGAGACAAAGTAACGAAATCCGAGTGCTTGAAAACGGATGTGAAATTTCCACGTATGAACCCTTCAGCAAGGATGGAAAGTTCCGTGCTTCCATGAAGATCTGCCAGATTCCATATAGCCAGTGAATTTGGAACGTTAATATTTTTTCTTAAAAACTCATAACATACATTTTCAACTTTGATGAATTGCAGCATACTAGCAGCCGAGAGGATCATCTCCACATTGGCACTGTTGATGTTTGTTTTTGAAGTATATGCAAAATCAATGAGTTGTCCCAGTGATTTCGAGTCCACTTCTTTGATCGTGATTCTATCCAGTTGACTTTCTCTCATTTCGCTAAGAAACATAGCTCTGAAGTACTCGCTCACGGATGCAAGTACCACCCTGTGGGCTTTGAAATCCATGCCATCATCAGTGGACAAGACGACATCACAGAACGAACTATCTTGGCGAAAAACGTTCATTTGTTTGAGAATAGTGGAAGGTCCATCATTGTCCTCATATTCAAAACACACTCCTGTTCCCATTCTATTTACGTAGAGCCTCCGAGCATCCAGATGAACTTTCCAAGTCAAAATACGTCGTTTGTTTGCTTGACGGACGTGGCTGATGAAAATGAAAATAAAAGGCCGGTTTTCAACTGGATTATGAATTTGTTATTGTAATCAAATCAATGATGAAAGTGTGTCTTCACCGTTGGAGGTCTGATCTTTTGTTTCTCACAGCTGTGCCACGTGCCTTATGAATATTGATATTATATCCATGCCTACCATTGGATCCTTTATTGACAAAAGCATTCTAACAAGCAGTCTGATTGGTCCTTGTTGAAGATCACGAAAAAGCACAAAACAGGAAAAAGGCGGGAAATGTTGATTTATATATCACACAGCAGGAAAGTTGATCACTCTTCACGTAATTCATTGACCTGGCTGTCTACCCATTTTTTCGTACACCTTAGTTCAAACAAAAACTAAAAATGTGCCACAGAATCCATATCAAGCTAAGTAAGAATATTTGTAACAATATAGTCTATTTCAGCAGGTGTTAAACATTAAACACGAAAAAGGGTGGTTTTTCTAAGTGAAAATCGAATCAAGCTAATCAAAAGTAAACTCGTATGTACGCCACGTTTAATTAACAATTTTCACGGGGTACAGTAATCAATTTGTAGCCCGCAAATTTCTAGTTGTCACGGATATCCAGTTTAATATATATTCAATTTTATAACATCAGAAATTCTAGGGTGGAAAAATTGAAATGCATTTATTTGACCATTTGTTCCAATATCTCTGGTGTTTGGCGGTTTTTAATTTGTATTGCAGACCGGAATCCGCGTTAAGCCCCCTTGAGTTGGTACGATCCGTTGTCACGCTTAAATGGCCTGCTTTTCAGACAGGGCGGAATTAAGAACTTAGTGCTAATATTAATTAATAGGAGAATAGGTTTATGTAGTAAAAAGTAATAAAGTGTATATGTTCATCTTGCAGAAAATTTATATCGGTTACTGGGGAGTTTTAACTAGTGAAAATGATGTGTTTTCATGAGAATGCTGGCGTCACATAGTTCACGTGAACAGGTCTGGACCGGTCCTATCATGGATCAAATTAAGGGTCAAGACCAAAGAGTATTGGCAAAAAAAAAAAACAACAAAAAACAAACAAACAAAAAACAAAACAAAACAAAACAAAAAACGAGGCACTATTTCTTTGATCCTAGCCTCAGATCACCTACAAAATTTCTAATTAGCTTGGAGCTTTATGCTGCCGTTTGGAAGCTCCCCCCTTCCCTCGCTCCACACACCCCCTTGGTTAGATATAATCAATAAAACTAAAACTGGAAAGAAACTTAATAGGATTACATTTTTTTAGATAATATGAGCCCCTTTCAAAAAATTGCTAAATCCCTGTCACGGGATCAAAGCATTGACAAACTATTGACATCATAAAAGTCTCATATAGGACTGTTCTACAAGATGGCGTAATTTTACTATCTACCAAAATGTTCGCGAATTTGCATTGCCTCTGAGAATATTAAGGCAATTGGTGCTAATTAACTGAACAAAAGAAAGTGTGCAAGGGATTCTGGTAGTTGTAGTTATTAATGACGCCATATTGCATAAAGTTCCTCATTGAGATCCGGCGATTCTCTTAGGATTAGCCTGTGTAGCGGCGATCTAGGGGATTTGGGAATGAGCGTAAGAGATTTATCGACTGAGCTTAATAATTGTTTTAGTACATATAAATGCTGTGGTAAAGCGAGTATCTAAACCTTTGCATTAAGGTTAAACACTTTGTTGCCTTTTGATGGTTTATTTATGATTACTTTAATCCGAATCATTTCATAATCACATGCATTGGATTATCTTCCATCTGTCTCGATCTCTATTCGGTGGGCTTCCTGTGCAGTTCCGAGTTGTTCCGAACTTTTCCGAGTCGTTCCGAGTGTCGCGCGTTCGAAGCTTTCCTTTCGTGTAAATCCAAGATGGCGGGCAGTTGTGGARTTTCGATTCTTTTAAAAGCTTGGCGAGAAAGATGGACTCCACTGSAATGGTTGGTCGAAATAAAAAAGAACGTAAAAAAAGATGGTCACAAAGGACTTGCAGGTAAGTTAACTTGCTCTTCAGAGACAAAAATCATCGAGTAAGATTCCAAAAATGACAGTCTACTTCAGCCATGATCCATGCCATGACTTTTAGATCAGACCAGTTCTAGTCTTAAATTTGAAGGGTTGAAGCTTATTTGTCATTATGTTGAAAACGGCAGTTGAATGCCACTGTTTGTTTATTTTGAATGGTAATATTAAGCTTGTTATAAACATATGATATATTGTAGCTATTATATTGATTATAGTACACTCAACAAAATTACTCGACTCTGATTGGTCGAGAGGAGTACAATTATAGCGTTAATTGTACTCCGTAGGAGTACCGAATTAAGTCGCTATGGCAACACGGCCAAAACAATGTCAAAACAATTATTTTCTATCATTTTGTACTTAAAAAACATAAATAAAATTATAAAGCCGTAAGAACTAATCTATTTTATGCATTTCAGTTGYGCGATGGACTGAAAATCGGCCGCCAAATAGACAAAGATGAACGGCGTYGCTTCGCATTTTTTACTGAAATTTTGTYGAGTGAACTATAAACAAAAAATCGCGCGATCTTCTCGTACAATTTGGAATTAATAGACACTCGTAATGTTTTGAGAGTTCTTTAATTGCACTCGCCTAAAGGCTCATGCAATTACAAGAACTTTCAAAACATTACTCGTGTCTATTAATTTCCAAATTGTACTCGAGATCGTGCGATTTCCTATAAGTATATAAGTTGTAACCGTGATTGCTATGTCATGGGGTCACAAATACTGTCTTAACCGCCCCCACCCCTCCCCCTATTGAGTATATAAGCTTAAGTTTATGCCAGAAGATTACACCCTTAATAAGAGATCATAGTTAACAGTTACTGTAAATTGTGATTGCTATGTTATGGATTCACAAATACTTTCAAAGACACTCTACCCCCTCCCTATCTGTCTGTTATTTCRTACTCTAGAACCCCTGTTTAATTACTCGTTGCAAAGGTTTAAGAAAATTTTGTTTGCAATGAAATGATCTACAATTTTGAAATATATTTAAAAACAGAAAATTATTTTATTGCTGATTGATAGAATGTCTAGTGCAGCAGGCTACGTTTGGAACCACACCATCCATGTTGATTCTGTCATATCTTAAACACGGCATCATGGCAGAGGTACAGTTAAATCAGACAATATTGTTGAATAAGTGTCCAGGGTTTCATTACTGCAGTTTTCAATAATCTGTGAACTTGCTAGTTATAATCTGCACGCTAAAATTTGGTTTTTTGCTGCCATCAATCAAAAATGATCAGTTAGCACCTTTTACATTTATGACTAGCAGTAAACAACCAATTTCACAACAAGCCATTGAAATTTCTGAGTTCGCAGAATATTGAAAACTGAACTAAGGATCATGGATTGGAGAATGCTTCCATTAACTAGCATTAATTATAGCTCAGTAGTTTGTAAAATGTTTACTTAGACTAGTTCATTTGGCTAGTTCATGACACTCTCCTATCAGGTCAAAACTTAAAGAAAGCCCTGAGTGTTGAAAGTATTATGTTCTTTAGAAATTCAAGATGAAGAGTAATATAACTTTGGTGGAAATTTATAAATGAAATTATTCATGAATGGCAATAATAAATAAAGAGCTCATAAAGAATTTGAGCCCCAGATGGTTGCCAATGATGAATCATTTCATTGATATACAGTAGTTCCATCATATTTTACTCTTCATCTTTTGATATGACTAGCTTGTCACTTTGCTYACAGAATGAACTGTGCTCACCATTAGAGTTCCCAATAGCTCTGTAATTAGGATCTGGAGATTTTTTATGAGTTTTTCTTTTCATTCGTTATGTTGTTATTAATACACTGTTTGAATTTGATTTGTTTATGGTAGTATGGTGGCAATATAATATTCACTTTTCTCTTAGGTTGTTCCTTGTTCAGAAGCCATAGAAGCAATCCAAAAGGTACCATAAGATATTTTAAAAATATATTTGTCATCAACACTATCATATGTACACTGTATTGTCNCACTCAGTACTAGTTAATGGCTAATGCGCTTTCATTTTATAACTTAACATACCAAAGCAAGGTTGTTGTAAGTGTTATTATTCTACTGACGATTTATATTAAAGGTCATTCTATTGTTCCAAACCGTATGCTTTTATCGATAAAATCGGTTAGAGTTCCAAAATAACTATCAGAGCATGCTCTTCAGTGTTATATACATATCACCATGAATGGGAGCGTTCATAATTCATGGGATGGGGGGACTATGAGTTTTTACCAATTGGAAAAATATTTCTGGGATCCGCCTTAATGACTCAAACATGTCAAGGAAAATGGCTGGACGCTTCCAAATTCTCATAGTCCCCCCCCCCCCCCCCCCCCCCCCCAACCATGTACCACCACCATCATCATTTCCTAGAGAAAATATATATTAAATCACCTCACTGATTAAATCAATGTTGCAATCATTTGTATTTTAGTTCCAAAACATAGAGAAGCACAGATGTTTGACAGCACTTTTGGATCTTCTTCTTAGCTTTATCCCAAATTTAAGGTTGGTCAGCAATTTAAAAAAAAATAATTAAAATTAATTGAATGAGTGTTTAAATAATTATATTCATGACTTATTGTTCCTCTAATATCAGCCATTAAACAGTCATTTCCATGACATTCCAAACACACTTTTCCAACAATGTCATGGATTTAACACTTTTGATTGACATTCACCAAAAACCTATTTGCGCTACGCAAATCGTACCATTTCAAATGTGAGTCTGTAATCAAGAAACACAACAGTATTGTACAATTTTTAAATTTATGATCATGGCATAATTTTTTTTCTATTCCATATTTTTAGTTGCTTTGATGATGGTGAGGATGCACTTGATCTCACCACATCAATGGTCAAGCTGATATACTGGCTTCTTATTGTTGCAATCAATTTGCTGAAGCTCAGCAGAGAGGTAGGCTTAACATAGTCAATATTCAAACTTATTTAAATTTATTGTTTTACCACACCACACTACACCACACCACACCACATTATACCACACCACACCACACCACACCACACTATGACCACACTGTGCAATATACTACACCACACTATGCAATATACTACACCACACTATGCAATATACTAAATATAATTTAATTATTCACCTGGTATATCCCAGATCGCACATGACACTAAGAATTTCATGTAGATTTTGTGTTTACTTGTAAACGCATAGGCAGCACGTTCATCTGATGAGGCATCTTTACATTACCATCTTGGGAATACCAAACGATGTCAAAAAGCATTTTCTCAGCTGATGAGCTCAACCACTTACAGGAGTTTGATAATGGTTGGGAAAATGGAAGATCCAGGTATGTGAAAACTACTGCATACTGTACATCTGACAAGTATGGTAGATGAAACAATTATAGTTAATATGAAAACTAGATTAGAATGGACAACATATTTATTTTTTACTCTAAGGAATAAACCGATATGTAATGGTCTCCTGTGCCATCCTGAAAGGTAGCCGTGCCTTTGCATCAAAGCATCAAAGTTAGACAAATTGTGAGCTTGCAATGATAGAGACATTTTTTCAACACCTTGGACAATATTATTTGCATGTCTCTATCATTGCAAGCTCAATGTTTATCTCGTTTCGATGCAAAGGCATGGCTACCTTTCAAGTTGGTTTAGGGAAATGTAAAGGGGACTCACAATCATGATTATCAATTATTAAACATTATTGATAATGATTAATGTTATAGGCATAACAACAGAGCTAGACTGTCAGTTCCAAGCCCATATGAAGGAACTGTTTGTGGTGACTCAGTCAGAAGGAATGGTCCCTGAAATACAGATGCACTTCAAAGATTTAATGATCAACTACAACAGGCACGAACAGTATTTTTATTGTGTAGTTCCAAAAATTATCCATCCCCCCTTCTCTCCCATGGAGAGATTTTTTACCCCTGGAAATTTTCTTCCATACAAACTCTTTATTTATTTTTTCTTTCTCTGACCCACCCACTCCTCGGAAATTCCAAAAACCTCTGGGGGGGGGGGGGGCTAGGGATGAATAATTTCTGGAACTATAAATTATAAATTATGTTTATTCGGTCATTTCATGTGTTTCCTAACTTTATAGTATTTTAATTCTGGATTTGCAATATGGTGCTAAAAATAAATAAAATAATAAAATGTTTATATATATATATACACCGGTAGGGTTTACAGCTAAAAGCTTGTGGGGCCGTGTTTCCTACATACACACTCCTTACTACATTTGAATATTTTATACAGTACACACTACTCTCAGTTCACATGTTGATTTTTATGGAGGGAAGAACCAAGAGAAAACCCCCATGAGAGAGAACAACTTATTAAACAAACTCAGTTCACAACCATTAAAGTTGACATATTAGCAGTGTGTGCCACCCATGCTGTTTGTGTGAAACTAATGTGTTGCTTCACTCAAATCAGGCTGCACAGTCTTACACCACTGAATGGGTCAGGTGACCATCAACCTGGTGTTGTACCAAACATCGCTGTCCAGAACATTATACAAATACAGGTAATCCAACACCACTACCACCACCAATAATGACAACAACAATAACAAAAACAGCAACAGCAACATATAAGCCTTTTGCAACAAACAGTCCAAGCTGATACTGTATTATGCTCAATGTCCCCAGGAAAAGGCTCTGCTGGATGGCAAAAAAATTTTAAATCGCTTTGTATCTTGAAATCCTAAGTATCTTCTAAGGAGGAAAAAAATTTTTTGAAAAAGTTTTGGATACTACATTACTAATCAAGTCCAATTTTTTTYCCCGTCCAGTAACAGTCATGTGCCAATGTATTGCAGAAAGCCTATTGTAATGACATAATGACATGTTTTGATTTCTGTTTTTAATCCAGAATTTAGTATTCCCAACTGATAGTCCTGAACAACTGGCTGGATTGTTAGATGCTGTCATGAGAACACAGGTAATTTTTTTAAGCAGTGTAACTGAATCCCATTAACTAGATTGTTCCCTGCTTTCCATTTTGAGAAGGAAATTGGAGGCTCAGCATATAACAATATTGTATACTACTTGTTAATGATTATAAACCTTTGACAGAACATTACAAGACTACAACTGTTCTTAGAGGTTATGAGATCATCTCTTGTTGGTATGTTGGAGTCACAAGAAAAATCAATGGAGGAAGCCATTTGGACTGGATTCTTTTTCTTCAAGGTTTGAGAATAATATGAGGAATGCAGAGCACCCTAAAAAGTGTGTAAGGGAGGGGGAGAGGCTAAGATTATTAGAAAAATATAGTAGATTAGTATGTAGACTAAAATTGTGTATTAGTATGTATGAACTAAAATAATTGGAAGGGGGAGGGGGGGCCACCTACAGGTAGTGTCCAAACCTCGACCCACCCACATCCCCCAAACACTAGAGGGACGTAGATAAGGTAAGAAATGATGATGCTGCACTGATGTTTAAAGATTTTCCTGGAGATGGAACCATTAAGTTTCAAATTAAGAAACTTATTTTCTTGAGGAATTGACTTGTTAAATTTTGTGAAAAATTAATTCCCWGTTATCTTATTAATATATACACCTAATTCAAAAAACATTGTCATTGCAAAAGGCGATAGGCGATAGGTCATTCCGACATGGACATGGTTTTGTTGAATACAAAGAACATCGAATCAGTGTCAGCACTAAGGTCCATACTCTTGACGAGAATAAGAAGAGGAAGATGAAACACAAGTCATTCCAGCTATTATAGGATCTTGGAATGACATATTTCCTATYGTTTTTTGCCTATCGCCTATTGCCTATTGCCTTCGGCGATGACAAAGTTTTTTGAATTAGGTGTATTCTGTCATGACAGCTGCCAAGAGTACTTATTGAAATGGAGAACAAATATCAGTCACAAGGAAACCAAACAACTAACATGGAACACTCAACAGTACAGGCAACACTGCAACAACTAAGAGTGTTTGCACCTCTCTTAGATGATGTAGATATTAAATACAAGTAAGATTAACGTTAGCACACTGGTTCTGTTGATATCTAAACATTAGTTACTGTAAATATATATCTTACATATATATATCTTAATACTTTCAGATGCAATTGCTACAAGGAATTCATTGAACAATACTGTAAACATGTCCCACAGCAAGTAGCAGAAAGGCTAGGAAACCTGGCATCTGCTAGGTAAGATGGTACCAGTAAAATATCATTTCATCAATTTGAAAATTTAATCCATTGTTGGGCAGAGCCCAGAAGGACACAAAGGAAACCAGGTCCATTTGGAAGCCCTTCCCCCACCTACACTCACACACATACTACATTCAATATTCTATATTTACTACATTCAACTCACATGTTGATTTTTATGGAGGGAGAAAAATGTTGGGAGAACCTGAGAAAAACCTCTGGTGGCAAGGGAGAGAAAATCAAAGAAACTCAATTCACTTGTGGCAGACCCTTTGGATCCACATTGACCAAAAAAGCGATGCATTAGCAAAGTATACCACCCATGTTAAGTACTAAGGGTGCAGTACTGTTAAATACTAAGTGCTGTAGAGATAAAATCACTGTGTTTTATTTTTTGTGTTTCAGGAAATCACCCAGTGAACTGGAAAGTGTAACACTGGGACAAATATACCAACCTTTTTTGCTTCTTCTAGATTCTGGTACGACTTTTTAATATCTTTTTGTTTTGTTTTATTTTTTATAATTCATGTCTTGTTCCATTCTATCATTTAATTATCTCATCTTCTTTTGTTTCATCTCACACATTCAGTTTCATTTCATTGTATACCATCCCATCTAATCCCATCTTATCCTTTCTTACTTCATCTTATCTCATTGCAACTCATCCCATCCTATCCAATCCCATCTCATCTTTTTCATTCCATATCATTTCATCTCATTTCATTCCATTTTATCGCATCCTGTTACTACCCCATCTTATCCCATATCATTTCTCATTCCATATCATTCCATCTCTTCTGATTCTATCTTATTCCATGTCATCTAATCTCATCATTACTTACTTCATTTTCATTCAATCTCTTTAATCCATTTTCCCTCCTTTAGAATCAAAAGTAATGCCTGTTCTTCAGGTGAGTGATTAGTAGTTAACATGTTTTTAATGATCAGGTCCAGAACTCCCATAAAACAGTAAAAAAGATGAAGGCCAAATAAATTAATTCAGGGTGTAAGGAGGCAGGTGGGGGGATGATATGGCAGTAAAAAGATTTTTTACGTAAATACTTTTGGACTATTAACTTTTTCATGGATTTATGGTATGCACTCTATTAAAACTTACTAAGAAATTATTGTAAAACTATATACAGCTATTGTATTAAAAAGAAAAATATTGTAAAAAAAACTTTATATATATATATATAATTATATTGATAATAAAAAAAAGTATAATCACCAATCCCATAGTTTTGTTTCTTGCTATTATCTTACTATTTTCATGAGGGAACCAAAATGTGATTAAGAAGTAAAATACTTAAACCATTCTAGTCAAGGTAGTATTAGATGGCCTATTTCACTTCCAATTTAATTTCCAGGCACTCGAAGATGAACAGACCGTGAAAGACGATAGGTTTCTGAATCAGCTGAGTTCTTTATTCAACGTGGCACATTCCAAATGGAGACTTGTTGCTGTTGCTAGTCTAGGCAAAATGCCAAGTTTAGTTGCAGAATTAATAAGGTACACGACATGTGAATTAATCTATTGGATTGCTATTAGTGTGACTGGATTCCCACACAATGATTTTTCTCACAGTTATTTTGAACTTGAACTTTCAGATTAGCTGAGGAAACCAAGAACCCTAGAGAAAGTGATGAAGAAAATACATGTATGTAGGAGAGTCACAATAAATGGGCACACAGACACTAACTAGGATTAACCAATCATAATGTAGTTTGAAAACTTAAGCCAATCAGGAGCAAACAAAGAAGCCTAGATTTGATTATATGTTATAAATAATTGTGAGAATGAAACACTGTGATTGGCTGAGATCAGTATGCTACAGTCTGCCTTCTTCTGATTGGCTTCATCTTTCATTGTACATCGTTATTGGTTAACTTTGTGTATCCATGAAAGTGCATCTTTGCTGTATTTTTATGTTTTTTGGAGGGGGAAAAATTGTCAAATGAAGCAAACAGAGAGTTATTTTTTAGAGTTATTTTTCCACTGGATGTCCAGATAAGAATTTACTCCTCCTTTGATTACTGGCTTTATTCAAAATAAAATTATTTTGAAAATCTAAATTCCATTTCAATCTGTATGTTGACTTTGGCCGGTACGCCTTGATCAGACCAGAGGTTTTTTTAATTCTTGGTTTTCACCTACGTCATCATGAATTTCAAAAGCGTAAATTCGCATTATAATGAAATAKAAATTTTATATTCTTGCAAAGCGGTCCAAACTACATATACTGGCCAAATTTTAAGGCTGTAAAACATTTCGTTGCGGAACTRTAGGCAAGTAAACATGACGCAATTTTTGGTTAAAATGTATGGAGCGGCCATCTTGGTGTTCCAAGTTGGTACACCATCATGGCGGACGAAATTCCAAAGGCTTAAAATGATGGAATATTTCATATGTTTGGCTATATTTCAATTAAATATACTTTATATAGATCTTTACAAC